CCATAACTATGCATACTATTTCATGTAAAGTTATGTAGTGTTGCATGTTTGGTTTTCTTTCTACATGTATGTTTACCCCACAAAAATTGCAACAAAAAGAGTAAGCCATTAATATCCTTTCGTGTGCATTGGTCTACATTTCATTATGTGGAACTTCATCATAGAAAATATGGGATAAATAAACATTTATTTTAGTGAGTATGAACTATTTATAATAAGTGAGTTACGGATGTTTATCAATAATTTTGGGATTAAATAAAACAAAAATATAAAATAGTTTCTAATTTAATATATTTAATAATTTATTTTAAGATGAATTTTTTTAAATGAAATTAAAAATATAAATATATAAATCAATATATTAAATCATTATTAAATTTAAAAATTTTAAATTATAAATAAATATATAAATTACAAAAATGTGAGTAACATCAACCTTTATTAAAAAAAAAAAACGTCGTTGTCTCCAACGTTCTTCATCATCAAAAAGGCCTCCCTGAAATTAATGTAAGTTAAATTAGATCCCTTGCACAAAATCTAAGACATAATCCCTCTATTTTAATCAATTAAATTAATAAACACGTTTTGTCTAGTTTCAAAAACTAAGAAAATAATAATAATAATATAATAATAATTCCTATGTTATGTTTAATTAAAATGATTAAATAACATTGACGAATGATGGTCATAAAAAAAATCAAAGAATTTTAGAAGTTTAACCTAAAAAACAAGCTTTCTTTACTTTTTTGTTTTTTTTTCTTAAAAAAGTATACGAATACTAATTAACACGATAAAGAAACAATGTGTTTTTTTATCTAATGCTCAGTTGATAACTTTAAAAATATCATTTATCTTTCAATTTAAATTATTAAAGAACTACAGATGAATTAAATATAACAAATTATAATTATTTAACATTTTTTTATGTGTTATTAGTCTTGTATATTATGAAATGATTTTGTTTTTAGTGTAACATTTTATGAATTAGTTCTTGATGAAATCCAACAATTACAAAAAGTAAATATTTTATTTGAAACAAAAAAAATTACTCTTTAATTCCCTTAATCTTTCCCCGTAATTTCTTAAAATAAAACAAGATAAAGTTACTTAAAATAAAATAAAATAATTTATAATTTTAAAATTATAATATATTTTTATGTTATTTTAACGTGTAAATGCGAAATAATATTATAAATTAAATTTAAACTATTGAAAAATATATTTTTTGCCCCTTTAAATATTAATTTTCCAGTTCCGTGCGAGGAGGTGATAAATATGACGTTGGATATGAGAATTCATAGCACGCATATGTGCTCCCTAAAGAACAAACCTTTCACGCTGCTCTTGGATTTACGTCTCTTAAGAAGGAAGAGAAATTATGAAGCATCTTGTGGAGCACCATAAAACCTAAAGGGAAGATACGATTATTAATAGCATTTCCTTTTACTTCTCCTACTCACCATTCCATATAGATTGAAAAGAGACTTTTAAATGTTCTCTATTATTCATCAAACCTCACACTTTATTACACCCGTTGATAGGGATTTAATCAAATATGACCAATTCAATTGTTCATATTAATATTAATTTTTTCTATAACTTGAATAACTAATTATTAATTTTAATCATTTAATATATATTAGGGTTGTTACTTAAATTAAATTCAAGAAGAGGCGTGACTTATTTTGAAGTAAGAGAGATATAAAAGATATTTAGGTTGAAGTGTATTACTGTACAAAATGTAGAGATATTTTATCTATGTGTTTTTCGAGATAATTTATAAATGAGTTGGTAACTGTATTATTTGAAGATAATCGAATGAGATCATTCATCATCTCAACCGTTATAATATTTAATTATTTTTTATATATAATTAGAAATGTTAAATTTACATCAAAATTTATGTGTTGGATTGTGATTCAAACTTTGCTAGTTAGTAATTTTATAATTTTTGACCTACTTTACAAATTGGTGAATATATTTAAAGTTTAAATGATGAATCACAATTATCATTCAAATAATAGGATAATGATATTAAAAAATAATATAATAAAATTGATTATTTGATGATGAAAAATATACTTAAAAAGACTACTTCAAAATTAGTACCCCTTCGATCATCTTTAATATAAATACAACAAAGCATAAGGAGAAATTAACTACGAAAACAAGTAAAAGATGGTGTTTAGGTGCAATTTGATTCAGATAATATTTATAGGAAAATAATTAATTTATTACTTTGTACAAAACTTCAAAAAACAGACTACTAATATCTAAACAAAGGGTCGAAACCTTAAGATTCCAAAGGTAGAAACAGAGGTATGAAAAAAGTTAGATATATGTGTATGTGTAGACCTAAAATCATGGACCGAAGAGAGGGTTCCAGCTGGAATATGGTGTTCCGAACTTAACGAAAAATCCATCTTGACCAGAGCGGAGAGAGATAGGTGAACGAGTGAGGTCGGAGATTAGAACAGAACATGCCACAACCAAACAACTGAAAATTAAGACAATATCCTCTCCCTCATCATCAACTTTAGACTGCACCAAACACAGGCAATTTTATCGTGTCCCACGCATGCATGTTGACACGACTCAAATCGTTTTCGAAACATATCCTTCGCCATTTTGGATAGGGTGAAAACCAAACAAAAGATAATTAGGATTTTTTTTTAAATATTTTAGTTAGTTTAAATTATAAAGAAAAAATTGTAAAATTTAGTAGAAAACTAAAGTTGCACTTAATAAATCTTAGAGAAAAAAATACATATTTTATCCTTTTTATTAACATTAAAAAAATAAAATAACTGTGTGTATTTTAATAGATTAATTTTCTAATTTGTTACAAATTGAAATTTAAAAAAATAATCAAATAAGATATACAACTCATAAAATGACAGATTTTCACTAATTTGTAACTAATAAAGTGTGTATTTTCTAGTATATTTTTATCTAACATTAAACTAATAAATTATTAAAAATCATTTTAATATATTTTTTCTCTTCCACTATGTTTTTCTATATACTTTATTTCCATCTATTTTTCTTTCACTCTATATTTTTTTGATAATAAAAATGATTAACCATTTAGATATTGTTTTAAGAAAATCAAATGTAGCACATGTAATATAAACTACTTATCACTACTTACAAATGTGAACAACACAATGTGTATTCTTTTGGGCCTCAGCAACCTGATTTTTGGTCCACTTTTTCGATAGGCTTTGTTGTTCTCATCAATCTGAAATGGTTTTTTATGATTTATTTATAAAAAGATTGTGAACAATTTTATTAAAAATTATAATTATTTTTTAAAATAATTATTAAACACTTTATAATATAAATTATTAAATAAATATATATTGTGAAGTTTTTAATAATTATTATTATTTTAAAATATCTCTATTTTATACATATATTATATCATTTTATAATTGAAAATTTATAATATTTTGATTAATATAAACACTTTATAAGAATATAATTAAATAATTAAATTATAAATAGACATATTTATATATTTATTTATTATTAGTTAATTAAAAAAATATAATATAGTATTTAAATATTAATATTAGTTTGACTACATTTTTATTTTTAATTTAAAATTTGAATAAAATCATAAAACAGAGTAAACATAAATTATTCTTAAAAAATAATTTAGATTAATTTTTTATTATTTTTTAGATTGATTGAATTTTGAATATCTTAATATTAATTTTATTATTTATTACCTTGTTAGGAGATGAAAGCCATAAAATATGATTTCAGTAGTGGTATGGTTAGAGTAGGAGACGTCAATTCCCAATATTGTCCTTAACACTCACTATCTACCAACATCGTATTGATAATTGGGCCATTAATTTCTTGTGGGCTCATTTGTAACGTCTTTATTCATATTCTGTCTCTGCATTTCAGGCCTCTTTTCCTTTCTACTCACGAGTTTCACGTCCTCATTTTCATTCCACGTGTCACCAGTGTGACGGTGATTTTTATTATTTTATGCTCCTTTTCCTAGGATAAATTTATTGTGAAGACTTTACAGAAGGAGTACAAAAATGGGTTTCAGAAATTTCAGAATGAGATCTTTAGTAAACTTTTTACTGTTTAAACATTCTAATGATTTTTTCATTATACTTTTCTAAAATTAATATACATGCGCAAATTTATTAAATATATAATTACATCACAAGACTGTTAAAAAAATGTGATTGATTATTAATAATTACTTTAATTAATCATCTAAATATAACTTATTTATGGTTTATTTTTTTATTATTTTATTTTATTTATGTTTTAGTCAAAATATAAACTAATAAAAAAAAATCTAAATGTAAATATCATTTTATTAAAAATATCAAGAGATGCATATTTATTTAGTTTTTCCTTTTTAAGTGGAGATATATATTTATAAATTTTAAAAAGAGTGTGAATATTATTTAGAAAATTCTATAGAAATAAAAGAATAACGTACTTGAAACAATTTAAAAATTACATTAACTTTATTTTTTAAATTAAGTCTTTCACTGTATTATTACTAAGTATTTTTTTATTACAAATTTATATTCACTTAGTCACCTTTTCTTTTGACTCGATTTTCATTATTTGCTTTCTTAGTTATTATTTTTGCATTCTTAGGTCTATAAATTCTATATACCTTTTTTTAGAAATAAAAAAATCATCTGCTTATATGCACAAAAAATTATGTGTACCTATATTATTTTGAATTTATTTTGGTAAGAATTAGTTAGCATGCTTGTCTTTTTTGCATATTTTTTTAGACCATTACAGGAGAAGTATTAATGTCCATTTTTTACCATGAAGTTTCAATCCTTTGAGATGTAGGAACAGTAGAGAAAGAGAAACTCTTCAACATTGCAACAGGTTAGGTGGCTTCCTTTGCACTATTAAGGAAAAGGGTCGCATTCCAGTATAAGAAGTGCATAAGTCGGGAGCAACAGAGCAAGATTGAGTTTGCTTATACTGTGCTTCAAACAAAAATGTTGAAGAGAATGGGGTGGCTATGTTCTCTTTTCATTATCTGTTTTCTGGGTCTTACTGGTAACTAAGAAAAACAACTTCACTCTTCTCTTCTAAAAGTTCTTAACTTTGGATGCTGTACAATGTGTGTGTGTATTTTTTTTTTATTTTTTTTTCTCAATCTAACTTCGCCCATTTGTTTTTCTGGCTTACATTTGCAGTAACTGGTCAAGAATCCATTGAGCTCCTCAACCTATGTGAGACAACTGATGACATTTTACAAGCCTCATCAGACGCCAAGCTTCCCTTGGCTGTTTCAGTGAGTGCTGGAGACCTCAATGAGGTTTCTTTCAGCATTCTATTGGCTGAAAGATGGCTCAGACACAACGTTCTTGCACACTACCCTACCTCAAATATCACCACCATTGTTGTGGGAACAACTGCCTTTTGCAAACAAGACCAACAACACAACCACCTGCCTGAGGTTCTATCTTCCTTGAAGAATGTCTACCACTCACTGAAGAGGTGGGGTTTGGAGAAAGACATAAAAGTTTCTGTTGCTTTTAATCTGGACTGTTTGTCTCTAAACAAAGTTTCTTATAACAATGATTTGAAAATGCTCAAACCCCTGTTAGAGTTTCTCCAAGGGGTAAACTCCACATATTCTGTGATCCCACATCATGGCTTCTCACATCTTTCTGATAAAAGTTTGAGCTTGGTGTCTTCTCACTATGAGTCCTTGAAAAAGCTTGGATTTTTCTACCTCAACAACATAAATGTTATAGCCACTGTTTCAAGAGGGAGAAAAAACATAGCAAGAAAGCTTTCGGTTGTTGATTTTAGCCCAATAGGTCCATTCCCAGTGAGGCCAGCTCCAATGCCAGAAATAGCCAAGTCCCCGATGACTCCTTCCAATGTACCTTTGCCTCCTTTAGCACAAGTAGTTTCTTCACCACCTCCAATACTTTCTCCCACTTTTGCCCCTGAAGAGCCACCATTTGGGGTTCCAGCTAGTTCACCTCATGGTTTCACACTACCTCCTTGTAATCCACTGCACAATGGCTCACCTTATCCCCAAATATTCCCTGTCCAGAAGGTGTGGTGTGTGGCTAAGCCTAGTGTTCCTGAAGAAACACTGCAACAGGCCATGGACTATGCTTGTGGAGAGGGTGGTGCTGATTGCATGGAGATTACGCCACAGGGAAACTGTTATTATCCAGACACTGTGGTTGCTCACGCTTCCTATGCTTTCAACAGTTACTGGCAGAAGCACAAGAGAAACGGTGGAACTTGCAGCTTTGGAGGGACTGCCATGTTGATCAATGCTGACCCAAGTAAACATGCATTATCCATCTTTTCCTTGTTTTCTCAAATCTGTACTAGCTTGGTCCTTTTGTTTTCTTTATCTTGTTCCCTTTATCAATGGAGTGGTATTGATTTGCAGGTTTCCTTCACTGTCGGTTTATTCTTAGCTAAATGAAATCAAAGTGGTGCTGGCGAGTTTGATTTTTGCAGTTAGTGTCGAGGTTTATGTTAAAGGCGACCTTGCTTTTGATTCACTTGCAATCGGTTTCTGTATAATGTATGGACCAAAACTCAAAACTTCAATATTGGGAATAGAGTATGGACTTATATACTTTCGAGCATAATTATTGTTTGTTTGTCCATGATTTATAGGTATCAGTAGTAACTAAGTTGTAGTTTTGCTCTAAATTACTTTTCTGATTGATGCCTATTTGCATACTCGATTCCATTATTCACAGAGTGAATTTTTCCATCATTTCTACTAGAATTGTACTGAAAGAATAATAAAAAATTTAACAGGTGCACAAACTCATTTTTTTGTTTCTGGCATAACATGTGGATCACAATTTGGAATTTGAGTATAGAATTAGAACATCTTTAGGAGTTTGGTTTGGTTTACAATTTGTCTTTCCTTTTCTGATCTATAATGTTTTTTCTGTGAGGTTATCATTTAAGAAGGATTTTTTGAATTTTACTGGAAGGTTAAAATGTTTATATTATACGTTTTTGATGAGTAATTTAAAAGTTCTAAAAAAATGGTGTGGGAGGGTGAGTGTTGTCCTCTCAACTTTTGGGGTTTCATGGTCCACCTGCTGCAGCTTTTTACCGTTTGTTTTACGTTTTGTTCTTTTCTGAAAGAAGGTGAACCAAAATTCAAGAAAATCCCTCTGCCTAAAAAGCATTATTGGATGGTTGACAGAAGAGAAGAAAAGCATGAAAAAGGAGCAACGGATAGCCACAGTGTAGCTTAGGTTCCTAATAAATTGAGTTTTATGTCTGAGTGAAAAACATGGGTATTGTTTTCTTTTTCATGAGAACTATAGTATCTAGCCTTTGCATAAATGGATTAGAATGGACCATTAAATTGTTTCTGGGCCAGACTGAACAATTTAAAACTAAAATGATTTTTTTTCATCCTTATATTTATTTATTTGAAAATATAATTATACCTTCGATAGTTTTATGGAACTATTGATTTTGGAGTATTTTATGTTAAAAATTCTGGAAATTTTTTGGATGAATAGATATGGGAATGCATAATTTTATAAATCCTGTATTATGAAATTCGAAATATAAATTTATTATTTTGGAAATATTAATCTAAAATATTTTTAAAAAAGTCAATTCAAAATATTTGTTAAAAACTCATTTTGAAATTTTTTTGAAAGAGTAAATAAATAATGTGTTTATATTAGGGGTAATATTGTCTTTCTAGAGGTATAAGAAGAAAATATGAACTTCATTTGCATTGGGCCTAGCAGGCCATAAAATTTGTTTTGTAAGTACGACAAACCAGATGAAGGTTAGTGTCTAAACATGGCAATTATTATTTTTAACTCCTTTATGTTCATACCCCAATTTTTATTTTCCTAATTATCCATCTCTTTATTTCTCTCTAGTAATTTGCTATGCAATTTTTTCAGACAATTTTTCAAGTAGATTTTTTATCTTCATTCAACTTACATATCTTTGTTTTATTTATTCAATTCCATTTCACCTACCATCAAACATTTCAAACAAAATTACATTAGATCACTGAATACATAAGAGTTTGAATTTGCAGAGAAATAAAACAAAGTCATTAACGGGAGATTAAATTAAGATAGTCTATTAGAGACAATAGACTTTATATATTGTAGGCCTTTTTTTGTTGCATTAAAATAGCAGGCCTGCAGATATTTCTTAAGTAGACCTAGCAAAGCCCATTAGCATGGTCACGTTGAGCCTTTATGTTCTTACAGGCTCAGTTCCTTCTTTCAACCTCATCACTCTGGTTGACCTTAAATAAGAGATATATTTATTTCTCTTTATTAGTAAATGAAATTTTTCCTTTGGATGCGTTGAAACAACGAAAATATAATTAGAAGAAATATAATATTTTGTTTATTTAAATAGGTAAAAAAAAAAGAAAAATTAAATATGAATTAATCATAAAATTATTTTCCTCACGTATGTGAACTGGGAAGGAGGAGGATGGTTGGTGTTTCTTTGATTTGTAGAGGGTGATTTATTATAATTTAGGAAATTAAAGAAATTTATATTTTATGAATTTATGAAAAAATTATATAAATTCAATTTTTATTTGAGAAGTACAAATCTTAATATCCTAAAATTCTAAAATTTTCATAATCTTCTCTTAATAAATCCCGGGACATTAAAGTACAATTTTGATATGACATTGATTTTATTGAGACGGAGATATTATTTCCTTATCCAATTTGCTAATAAAAGTTTTACTTACCTCGGATCATTCTAACCTAATTCAACTTAACTCGACCCTAAACCAATTTTGCTCATATAGACCCACGAGCAATATACTGTGAATGACATTATAGGACTTGTTATATTCAAACTTAACTCAGCTCAACCAACCCAACATAAGTGTCTGAGCTAACTGAACCTAACTTAATTTGACCCATCTCTACCAAATTTGTACATCCTCACATGATTGAATCCCTAATTTGATCTATTTGACCTCACATAACATTTCATAGTCCACCTCAACCTAGTCTTATTTGTACCAATTTCAAAACATGCACTCTCTCTCTCTCTCTCATAATTATAATTAATTCAAAATTATAATTAATTCAAACGCACTATGATAACTTATTTCAAAATATAAATTGTATATGTATAAAAAAATATATACAAATATATGATAACATATTTTATTTTGTTCTTGATTCTAAACCCACTATTGTTTTGGTATCAGTTCTCAAATAAATTCAAAACAACACATAGTTTAAATGATCCATAAAATACATTCATAATACTCATCACCATATAATATAATGCAAATTCATGTATTTTATTCATTTTATCATGTCCATATATATTTGTTATCATGTCACGCATATACTTGATGATTTTCGAAAGATTAGATATTAAATTAGATCTTAAGACATGTACTTGTCCACCAAAACTTCCCTTATGCATTAAATACTAGGGTATTTACAATTATATATACACTCTCTCATATGATTATGATATATTCTTATGATTTATTTCATCCAAATCTTAATACATTAATTTAAGTCTTCAACTCTTATCATTTTATCTTTTATCTATACATATCCAACAATTAGTAGAGTTGAGATATTTCATTGACTCTTCAATTCAATATTCATACACATTACACCACATATATGAGAATATTTCTTGATAATTCTCATACTATACACACCATCAAATTGTAGTGAATCACATCATGTAAATCTTATTATAATTCATCACTTTAAAAGTTATAACTTATCATTTGAAATCATATAATCTAGCATAAATGTAAAAATATTACTAAATATTCAAAGTATGATATGTTTTTAAAATATAACAATTAAGTGAAATGTAAAACAATTTTAACATTAAAGATCATTTTAAAACGTGTTATTTAAAAGCTAGAAAATACTCTTTTCGCTTAACCACATATATGATTGCTTTAGTGAATTAGGCACATATCATATCTTTTTAACCGCGAGTTCTACTTGCTCGAAAAATAAATTTCTCGTCCAATGACATTTAATTGCCCAACAGTCAAACACTTCGGGATTTCACTAGAACGAACTTCACTCAACGAATAAATGGTCGATCAGTGGCCAAAGTTCTCATATTTTCTCTAAGATGAATTTTACCTAAAGCTCGCCCTCTCAGGTTCTAACTAACTTAATTGAATTTCATTCATGAATAACATATCGTCTAATAACGATTATGTAGAAAAAATTATGCAAAGTGGTAAAATCAAGAGAAAAATTAGGTTTCTAACTTATCAAAGATATCCATTTCAAACCATATTTTACTAAGTCACCTTAGTACATTTAGATCTTCTAACTTAGGATGCAATAGAATTAGCATCACTTATCTTAACCATATTACGATAAAGCTTAGAAACCTCAAATTTCTAAATTCTCATGGAGGTCAAATCTCATTTACAAAAAACTTCAATTAATAAATTTAGTATACCATAACGTTCATAAACTAATCAAAATTCATCTTTGTCCAACAAGATCTATATGCAAACACCTTGTCCATAAATACCACTATACATAAATATTTTTAATTAAATAAGAAAAAACTTACTTTATCTAAAATTTTGATAAAATAAAAATGATTTTTTCTATTCTACGAGTACCAAGACATGCTTGAATCTAAAATAAGGTGAGAAAGAGACTGACCAAATTAGAGTAAAGTAAAAAAAATGTATAAAAATATTGTGATAATCAAATTTAAATGACTAAATTTTTATTATTTATAATCCTTTTGAATTTAATCAATAAAATTTCAAATTTGTTCCTTGATAAATCACTTTTACTTTTAAAAATCTTCGTATTATCATACAAGTGAAAATCACTCCTTTCCATATAACTAAATTAACATAGTTAACAATGATAATTTTTATATTTGATGATAATTAAAATATTTTATTTAAATAAAATAAAATTTAAAAATTTAAAATTATTTAATCAAAACAAAACATTTAAAAGTTAACATAATTTAAAATAAGATCAATTTAATATATTTAATTTATAAAAAATTGAAAAATTATATATTTAGATTTAAAATTAAGTTTATAGAAAATATAATTTGTTACACAAAAATACTTATGTTATCTTTAAAATACAAGCTAACCTTTTTGATTTGTTGGGATTATATATAACTTAATTTTTATATTTTACCTTTTCTAAAACTTTATTCCTTCAATTAACACACGATTTTATTTTATTTTTTATTTGTGTTCCGCGTTTTTATTATTCTAAATTTATTTATGGATTATTTGGTTTGAGATAGAAAAAGTGGGACATAGATTAAATAAGAAAGTCATCCCTTTCCCCGATTTGTTTTTAACTAAATTCGGACAAAGCATGATTTTTAAAAACATTCATATCTTTTTAATTTCATTTGCTCATAAAAAAGAAAGCAGTAGAAATTTAAATTCTATCAATTATACTTTCACCTAA